AAGGGTTAAATATGTTTTTGATCCCTTAACTTTCACTGAAAATTGGAATTAGTCCCTCTTCAAAACTTTGAACTAATTTAGTCCCCAAACTTTAAAAATGTATGAATTTAATCCTTTTAACCAAAATTTGTTAACTTTATTTGATGTTTCAAACGCATTTCTCAATTAACATTGAAGCAAAAATGTGTCAAACGGTATAAACAACTCAAATGCTATCATGAAACGCACTGAAAACATCAAATAAAATTAACAAAATTTGGTTAAAAGGACTAAATTCACACATTTATAAAGTTTGGGGACTAAATTAGGCCAAAGTTTTAAAGAGGGACTAATTTCAATTTTCACTAAAAGGTAAGGGACCAAAAACATATTTAACCCTTTATTTAATAAATCAAAGCTCTAATGTCAGGGTGATCAATTGATTATATGAAAAGGACATTACCTCGGGTGTTTAGTCTTTAATAAACTGTTATGAACAACTTTGACCTGAGTATCCTCACACTCATTGCACTGAGAACTATCCCTTGGACAAATGGACAAGTTAACTAGGCGGTCTTTTCAAATTCACTGTTGCCTGTTTCTCGTGGACTTTTGTTTTCTGATAAATTATAGTATGTTATAACTTATAAATAATCAAATGCTCCATTTCCTTTCAATCACTCAAAGATTGACTGCATGTCACTTATAAATAATCTGCATACTGTAATTACTAGTTGCAACTTTATTACACTAATTTTTCATGATCCACATTATTTGTTTCGTTGCATTAATCACCTCACTTGTTTGTTCCAAGGTTACAACAGGGCGTGACGTGACTGACATCTTGGATCGAAACAGTGTCGTTTAAGGTCACTGTGATGATGTCTGTATATGGAGTGAGCGAGTGCTTTATAATATGAAAATGCCAAAGCCATGTGAGTGGGTCTCACCATTGCGCTTTCATTTTTTAACGCTTTCCAGCTCTCCAATGCGTGCAAGTCGGCGACTTTCTGAGCGGCCTCAGCTTGTCGTTTCTCAGAGCGAGGACGAGCGGCAGCGGTGATGGCAGAGTCAACCTCTCTCTCCAATGTCTCAACTCGTTGCTGGAGCAGTTTGATGGAGCGGGCTTGGTCAGCGGTAAGGAAGGCTTTGGAGAACGTGTCTTCGTCGATGAAGATGGCTTTGGTGAGAAGAAGCTTCTGGAGAGATTCGAGATTGCGATGCAGGGAAGAGAAATTAGAATTGTGAAGAGGGAAAATGTGGTTGTAGAGGGAACGCGAAAATGTGATTTAGGAGATATTGTGATAGGTTTTTTAAAATTTGGGGGCAAATACGAACTGAAATTTGGGGGCAAATACGAAGTCAAATTTGGGGGAATGGGTTTGATGAATCTAAACGAAGCGAAACTGAAAATTTAGAAAACGAGGGAAATTTTGAAAGAAGCTCCCAAAGAGAAATGTAAAAGAGCACGCAGCTGTTTCAAATAACGCTATC